ACGGATTAAAGATTTTTGGTCTTACCTCTTATCATTTCATATTCGTGGCAATCCATTTTTGTACTTTTGTAGACCATATTGAGTAGCTATATCCAATCAAAACTAAAGCCCGCTATTCTGTTCTGGAATTAATTGTCTAAAAATTACAGACCTGAAACCGATGTTCCGGTTCGGTTCTGTGTATTCGGTTCCATTTTGCGTAACACCAATTGCATAAATTTAAGTTATGTGAGTTCCTGTTCTTCAAATGTCTCCAATTTTATTGGTCACCCATGATCATGAGAAAATCAAACATTTCTCATGATTGTCGAGTATAGGGCTTTCGGCACTATAATTTTCTTTTTTTCCTTACAGCTATTTTCATTATTCCTGGGACACCTATAAAAAAACTTGCCGAAAAATTTTTCGGCCAGTAATTTTTTCGGCATAATAAAAATTGATATAATACTGTAATATATACTAATTTAATAAAATTATGCACATCTCTTGTTGAATTCAAAAAATATGGTATTTTCAAATCACATTCGCTGGCAAATTATTGAAAAAAATTTAGAAGGCCTATCAACTCGAAAAATTGCAAAACACTTAGGTGTTAGCAGGTCTTCTATAAGTCGGGTTCTTGTGCATTTTCAAAGATATGGTTGTATTGAAAAACTTCCATCACTTTCAGGAAAACCACGTTCTTTAAACATGAATGATATAAATTATCTTCAAGTTTTAATGAAAGAAAAGCCTGACTGGTACTTGTTTGAATTACAATCCGAGATGGAACTTTGGTTGGGACGTAACATTAGTCTTACAACAATTTGAACCAACTTTGATATACGCACAAAAAGGTAATATTTTCATATATTTATACATATTTTTATTTTGTAAACTTTTAATTCAGTTTTTTAACCAAACAAATTGTTAAGGAAAAATTAACTAAAGAAGCCAAAAAGGAATTATGAGACATTTTTCGTGACAATTTTATAAAAGCTCTTTCGTATTAATAACTTTTGATTCAGGTTCTTTCATGTTAATAGTATCCAAGTAATTTCTGAATCAGCTGTGGTCACTTCAGACAAGTCAGGACGATAAAGATTCTTTAATTGTTAGATCTACTGTTTCGTTTTGATTGTGTTTTATTGAATTTTTAGTCCAATCGACGAATTCTTGATCGTATCTAAATTTTTTAATATTAGCACCTATTCGTGTGATATATTTACTATAAAAGCTAATTTGATATCCGGAGCCTTTTTTATATTTCTTGTCAAGTTTTATTGGTTGACAAGAACAATCTTTTTCATAAACTTTCGCACAAATTAACACACTAAACATATTGGGCAAGCGTTCAAACGAAATTTTAATAATAATAATAATAAAATTATTTGTAGAACAGATAATATTTATTATGGTAATTTTTGAAATTGGACCAACGATATAATTTAGACGTAGATATTATATCAATATTACAATAAATAAAAATTGAACGAATTCAAAAATATATTTAATTTATGACGTAGATATTATATTAATATTACAGTAACCGGCTGAAAAATTTTTCGACTAATTTTTTATAGGTGTCCCAGAAATAATGAAAACAGCTGTAAAAAAAAATTGATTTGATCCAAACTTAATGAGAGGTGGGGGGTTGAAGATTTTCGAAGATTTTTATAACTAGCTTTTTTAGAACTGCATGTGGTGACTTATTTTATTTTTTTTTAAAGGCTGTCTGACAACATAACTGAGCTGGATATCCCGATGAAGAACTGCATGTTGGACATGCAGGATATGAGATCTTTCTTTTTTTCTCTTTTCTTCTCTTTTTCTTATACATATACACACTTTCTCTTTCTCACACATATACATATTTTTTATCTTTTTTTTTCTAATAGATGCCTTCTCTTTTTATAAACATAATGGTAGGTACTTTTGTCAAAAAGTAATCGGCTCGTTTGCCATTACCGAGCTTCTTGCTATTCCAATACCGATGAAGAACTGCATGTTGGACATGCAGGATAAGATATGCCTTCTCTTTTTATAAATAAAATTGTAGCCGAAAAGTAATCTGCTCATTCGCTGTTACCGAGCTTCTTGCTATTCCAATTATCATCAACCCAATAAGCAATAATTCCTAAAAACGATTCAACTTTAGGAGAGGTCCAAATATCAAGAGTGATATTAGGGCGCATTTGTGGAATTAAGGAAATTAGGCAGATATAGTAGGAAGATGGGTTAGACGTTATGTTGCCATAGAACTGGGATGAAAAAATTTTGGGATTTAGTTTTAAATTGATAAATAATAAATTTAGTGACAAAATATGAAGTCAAATTAGATTGACTTACTATCGGTAATGAATTTTTAGGCTAGTTATACGGTTAAACGTATTCGGGTTATTAAATTTAGAAACGAATGTGACGATTCTTAGACGAATTCCTTGGTGTGGGTAGTCAAACTTTTTCAAATTTTGGGGTAGTTTACAGACGCGCCGTAATGATAGAAATTTTGCAAGATAAATTCTAAAAATAAAAATAAATAAATATTATCAGTCACACGATTTGTCACGCAGAATATGATCAGCTTATTTTACATAGTAAATTGCAACGATAAGCTCTTTTCAAATACGTATGTACCATTTTCAGGAGTTTCCCAAAAGGAAATCATATTCGTGTGACAAGGTACGGCAGTTTATTATCATTCGATTTTCTAAAGCTGAGAAGAATCATAAAATAAGTGTTTCGTTTCACTTTTATGTATATAATATTTGCCTTAGTTCGCTTTAAAAACTTTTTTTTTTGAAAGTTCAACTTACTAAACCTCTTCACAATTATAAATTGCTAGAATGTTGAACGAAGTCGCAGGTAATCAAGAAGTGTTGAGCAGTTACGGACTAAATTAGAGCATTCGAATAAGTATTATTCTTAGAATTTGAAGGGAACTATCATTGACGAAGCTAGTTTTTAGATGTGTAGTTTTTTAAGCGAAGTAGTTTTAAATGAATAGCTTTTTTGGGTTAGTTTTTTTACCGAGTGCAGGAGTGGCTTTTTTAAACGAGTAGTTTTTAGATTAAACGAGTAATTTTTAGTCAAGTCAAACTAAAACTATTATAACTAGAAATAGTAGAATTCAGACGAGTTGAATGTTAAGAGGTATTGAATTAAATATAAATCGTGATAGAAGTTATTCGAATTAGGATACGCGCTGAAAATCAAGAAAAAACTATTTTACAGTACGTAGATTACATATTATTGCATAGTTTTACTTGGTTTATGGTTTCATCACAATAACTAATAGTAATATTAAATTATTAATTTTAATTGATTGGGCGTTGATTCAGTAGATAAGTATAAAAAATTAGTTATATAAATTATTTAAGTTTATTTAATTTAGTTTTGAAGTTTAAAAATTATTGATTAATTGGTATACTGTATTTAGTATCGTCGCGGTTAGAAGTTCATGGGTTTGTGATCATAGTAATTTAATAAAAAAAATAGATCTATATTTATTCTTTGGTTTGTTGAATGCCGTTGATTTATTTTTTTTCTTATGTTGATCGTGTAGCGACTCAATTTATTATATGTTTATTAGTAGAGCCGAATGTGTCAATAAGTACTATTTATTCAACGTTTCATATGACGACATGACAGGGACACGTGTTATTAATCATTTTTATCATTTTCTTTGTCTCCCTTTATATTTTTAACTTTTCGGGAAATAACAAATTCCTGTTATCACCCCATGAAAAAAAAAGAAAGAAAAAATTTTATGATAAAAATTATGATTAATAACACGTAAATCCCCGTCGTGCGATCATAATGAGACGTGGAATAACAAATCTATAATTATACTATATATTAATATATTTAAAATAAATTAAGAATAAACGATATTTTAAATTATTTCATTTTATTAAAATCAAACCATATACTTTAACCATTCATACCCTTTGATTCGTAGAAAGCTCAGCAATAAGTTTGTTTTAAGGAACACTACGTGTTGGGACTAGAGTTGCGGGTGAAACTAATCTTCAATGGTGCACCAGGTGAAACTGGTGCACCGATAGTGAAACTAGAGTTATGTGAAATTTTTAAAATCGTAATTTCGTTGATTTGTGTAATTTGTGAAGATCATATGATAAAATTTTTATATGTGACTGTTATTATTAAATTTAAAATTACGCCTCCTGGCGTCCCTCAGTTTTTTTTTTAAAAAAAGAAGTTTAGGATTTTAATGTGGCAGTTTCATGTGATGGTTTGAGATACGTAAACGATTTGCATTTATTTATTTTTGTTTTTTTTTACTGTAAATATCGATATTACTGTATGCATCCTTTTTTTTGTTTGTACGTACGCTTAAACATTTACTACTTTTAGGTTTTGAATACCAAACAATTGAAATTCTGGATTAATATTTATTACAGTTAAAGCATGACAAGACCGGCTAATAAAAATGTATAGAAATTAAGAATGTATAGAAAACAAGAATAAGAAAAAATATAGTATGCCAAAAAATACCAAAAAATACAGTATAATAATGTAGAATTGTTCTAAAATGATATTGTGAAAAACAATGTTTACAAAGAGCGCATTACAGTCAATCTTCTATATTTCCAAGGAGGTGCATTCATGAAAGGTTGACTATATAATCTAATTTAGAAAGCGATTCTTATTGGTTTATTTCGGAAAAGTAATAAATTTTCAAAAATCATAAAATATTTGACGACCAAAGAATTCTTAGAATTTTTGGTTTCGACCACCACGAGGACGACGACGACGACGACGAGAATGGCCTAAAAAAAAGAACATATATGTATTAGGGATCTAAATATAAATCGATTGCTAAAGTAATTTTATAACGCTAATTGGAATATTTTATTTTTTAAAGATCATTATGAATAAAATGATTTTTAAGTCTCATTACTTAACCAATTTAAGTTCTTCAAACATGATGAGTTAACATGATGAGTTTAAAATACATACTATTTGAACCCGATACACTTTGAACAGATACACTTTGATCACCATCTCCACATTTTCTTTTTTTAATTTTTCTTTTTTTCATGATGGTTTTATGATCATACGGATTTAAAATTTGATCATATCTATCCAAGTAATATACCAATTTTGTTTCAAGATATTTTGTTGCTTCATTATTTCCGTGAATTGATTGTACCAAATAATCAATTACATCTTTCAAGTTTTTATAAACAACTTGAATTTGCATTGGATCTAAGGTATCATATGAAAGGATAGGGTCATTTATGCTGATCTTTTCTAAACCTTGCCAATCTTTGTAAAGGTGGTAAATGTCCCGAGTACAATTCTCTGGTGGCGTAGTTGGAGAATCTTTTGGTGTGTGATAAAGTATTAATATCATATTTTCAACTAAACCTTCCATTAACCTGTATCCTTTATGATAATTGATACAAGCATTATTTGGGGTTGCAGATTTATTACTTTTTGATGACGAATAGGTGAAATGATTTTCGACTGATTTATCTTTAATAATATTTTGTAGACGTGCGAATAACTTGTAAAATTCGTTACAGGGAATCTGGTCTACTTTGGATTCTCTATCATACTGAGTAATTATGAATTTTAAGAGTCGAGAGGTTTTTGCTAAAGAGAATAGTGGATTTGTTACGTCTGTAATATCTGATTCTAGCCATTGATTAGTGTTATAGAATGGAGGGTTCATGATTATATATGGTGGATTACGTGTTGCGAATTTCAGAAAAAAGATTTGGATTTCAAAATCAAAGGGCCTAAGTATTCGTTTTTATAAGTTAATATTTGTATTGTTTATAAATTTAGACGTTAATCATGATTCCAATTAAGGAATCATGCAGTTTGTTATTCTTATTCGATTTATAAGTTTTTAGACGTTAATCATGATTCCAATTAAAGAATCATGCTATATATATAGTAATAATGTACGTACTACGTAGGAGATGAAATAGCTAATAATGAAAGGCGTATACACTGGAAAACAGGACCGGGAAATCTTTGTTATAGGTCCCCACCAAAAAAGTTTATTTGATACGTATGTTTATGCGAATCAGCCTTTTTTTATAATTAAGCGAATCACACCTTAAAAAATTAATAATAAAAAATTAATAATAAAGCGAATCATTTTTAATCGAACACCTTAAAAATTAATAATAAAGCGAATCATTTTTAGTCGAACACCTTGGTATACAATATGTGAGCTACTAAACCATCCGGAATTTTTCGGAGCTTTGCTTCAATTATTTCTTGCCTTGTTACACTTTTAAAAGCTTGCCAACGGTATAGTGCTCGGCAAAATCAAACAACTTGATTTTTAAGTTTTTGAATCTATCGATTTATGGTACTGTATTGTGCTTCAATTACAAAATCCATTTTTACTCTAAACTTCATGATAAGTTACTACGAAATCTAAAGTAAGATCGGATGCCTGTTAGATTTATATATTTACTAAAAATAAATTTTGTATTTAATGCCTGTAAATTGATAGATTCAAAAACTTTATAATCAAGTTTTTGTTTGATTTTGCCGTGCACTATTCCCGGGAATGTTAGTTGGGATGTGTAGGTTTCCCGATGTAGATATCAATATCAATATTAATATAGAATTAGCTCTAAGTCCGATGTATTCACATCAAAAGGCAAGATAATTGTTAAATTTTCTTTCTTTAAATTTATATAATATGTAATGTTTAGGACCTGATTGTTATACTAAATTAACTATGAAATGTATCAGGGATGGTCAAATGACCTCAAATGACCCCAATTTTATTATGAATTTTAGGCAAATGACCTCCAATTTTTACCATCCCTGCCACACAGTATATGGTTAAGGTGAGTTGATTAAGAATTGAGTTTGTAGTATCATATCAGATGCAATTGGCTACTAAACGCGTAATCTGTTTTTGTTACACGAATACGCGACGTAACTACGTTTTGATATTTATATTATAAATATATCAAAAACGTAATTTTGGTCATCAAAGGCGTAGAAGTATGTATATATACATATAATTTATAATAAAATGTCAATAAAATATAATACTAGCGTTTAATCTTGTTTATTGGCTGGAGCTGAGGGAACCGAGGTGGAAGCTTTCAAGTCATACTCTACGAATTTTCGGAAATGTCCACTGATTTAGGTTCAAAGTCCGAAAATTGAACCAAAATCAGGTTCAATTTAGGATATTAAAACGTTAATTTAAAATGTAGCTGCTGACTTTAAAATCATTATAACAGAAATTTTTTAGCAAACACATTGAATAAGAACATTAAATAAAATTAAATTTTGCAGCTGACTTTTAAAATACATGGGGTAAAAAAGAAGGTATAAATCAAATAAATATGTATTTTTGATCGCAAGCACGCTAGATAAAATTAGCTATTTGGTACGAGGTGAAGAAAATTCGTTAAAATAAGAAGAAACTAAATATTGGCCTATTAAAGTGGAAGTAATAGTGAGAGTCGAAATTGTAATAATGTCTCTGGGGATATGTGGGCGATCGATCGGTGTGACGGATGGGAAATATAAGTAAGTTTATGGGAGATGACGTAAATAATGTAATTCAAGAGTAAAAGTCAAAAAAAAAAATAAATTAGTCAGCTTTCGTTCTAATTAATAAATCAATTTACATACTCTTACACATAGTACGAGGAACTTATCTTTGGTATTGCACGGGATACTGAATTGGATTTACAATAAACAGCAATCAATCGACCTATCAAATACACCTGGGAGGTAAATTCTGGTATTTGCTCTCGCATACAGTTTCCATTATGTCTTGCCTGGGCAATTACAATTCATAAATCACAAGTATAGGGTTAGGTTAGGGTTTAGGAGTAGTTTTAATAATAATAGAGTATAAGTGGATTTTGTTAGGGTTTGACATTATCATAAATATTGGAAATAAAGAATTTGCAACAAGTCTTACATTCGTCGGTGTATTAAGGGTTCGTACCCTTAACGATCTTTCTTTCGATAGTGCATTCTCTTTTGACAGATTACAAAAATTAGGACAAAGTGCACGTTTGCAACAAAGATTATTAGAAAAATGGAATATTAAAATTCATAAAATTTAAATATGTACTATTTTAAATTTAAGAATTGAGGCTCCAGCCTATAAAACATTTTTCTAGTTATTAATAAAAAAATTGGTAATGATTCAAAAAAAATTAAAATGTATATACAGTATACAATAAAACAATTTTAATTATTTATAAATTTAATTAGCTAAGTAGTTTCTTGAGAAACAGAGGGTTTCTGACTTGTTGAACAAAATTGCCTGGCAAGTTGCACACAACCGCTAATATAACAATATATTAATATCTCTTAATATCTGAAATGTATAATAATAGTTGAGAAATCTTAATAGATAAAAAAAGAGTTGACTTTACACAGCTATGTAGTTGATTAAATTATTAATTCTGGCTTCTTCACTTGGTAGATCTAGATAAATTACTTGATTATGAACATGCACTTCGTGAACAGTGTGTACAAGCACAAGTTTTTCAGTTATTGATCTTTCATTATTAATAGAATCATTTTCTATCTTTTCTACGTCTAGCATTTTTCAACAAAAATTGGCAATAAATTCAGCTGTCTACACGGATATAACAATGTTGTAACCCACGCGTCAAGATTAGAATAAAATTCAACATTAAGATGCAATATAAAAAAAAATTAAATACTACATTGATTACTTAAAGAGTTTACAGAACAATATCAATTTTTTCAAAGATGAAATTGAATTTTTGTCTGATATGTACAATTTTTCTAAGTCCTCAATTAAATGTGAATATCTTGATAATTAGTAATCAAGAAATCAAACATTGCACGATCAATATCATATCACCACGATGACTTAAAGCAAATGCATTGGTTGTGAAAAGCTTTTCGCACATGCCTCTTTTCGAAAATCTATTCTTCACTAAAAATATTCAAATCCGCATGTGCCCCAACCACGCACATAAGAGTCGTAACCACCCATACTCAAGTTACGTCCTTTTATCATTCGTACACGCCTCTTTGTCGAAGATCTATTCCTCTTCGGACTATTGCACTAGCAAGATTTGTCAGCCACGCTTTATGGCAAGTTCAACCACAAATGTTATAAATCTGAAGCTAATCACATAGCTCAAGCTCCGTGAACTTAGTATTCCTGATGTTGATTTGGGCATGTCAAGCTGAAGACAATTACATACCTATATAAAACATATTGAAGATGTTCTTGGTAAAGATTGGGAACTATATGCTGAAGGCCAAAATTACAAGTCGAATTCAATAACTTAAAAAGAAATTAGATACTAGATCAGTAATTATTTATTTTGAGGTAAACTATATAACATTTGTTAACATGTAAATATAAATTTTTCATAAAGATTTTTGAAGCTTGGAAGACAGAAATTTCTAACCATAAATTAAACATAACGAAAAGATTATGCGAAATTACACGAAATTGTGCTCAAGGAAATTATCTTCAATTGGGTATAAGTTTTGATCTATTAATTATCAAAGATATTCGTATTTAATTATGACTTAAAAAAGTTGTACATATCAGACGAAAAAAATCGATTTCAACTTTGAAAAAATTCAAAAATTGTAAGTTTATTTTGATATTGTTCTGTAAACTCTTTAAATAATCAACTATTGAAACTTGCAGTATTCTTTAATTTTTTTTAGATTGACTATCTTGATGCTAAATTTTATTCTAATCATGACGCGTGGGTTGCGCAGCTTAATAAACGGATTGAAGCTGTCTAGATTCAGCGGTTGTGTGCAACTTACCAGGAAATCAAGGTTCACGTAATTTTGTTCAACAAGTCAGAAAATCCTCTGTTTCCCGAGAAACTACTTATTCCGATTTATTGGCAAAAATTCTTGATGGTTCACTAGAGAAAGTATATGAAGTCATTGAAACCAAATTGAAAGAAGTATATGAATACTTTATAAATAGGTCCAATATGGAATCTTGAACCTAATTATATTTATGACCGACTTGTAAATGGAAACAATTTCTTTCAGCAATAAAAAAAATCATGCACATCATTCAGATATCGAACGTTCATTTGGCATTATTGTTGTTAATTATGGATAAATATTTTTTTATGATAAAAAAAAATAAATTAAAAGAGTTATAAGATAAAGCACTGCGAGTGCTCATTTTCTTATCTTAAAAGTTACATCATTATATAATTACAGCTTTCTCAACTATTTGAATACTCGGGTTCAATTTATAATTCTTAGTAATGTCGTGACATGTATAGTAACTTAGTGTTAATAAACGTTTAGAATTGACTAAAATTTAGCACTTTACCCGGCACTTGCAGGATTCTAGTTAATTAAAATTATAAAATTAAACTAGCAATGAATACTTGGTGGCTTCGCCGCCTATTTTATTGACTACTGTCATAGTATTGTAATCGAGTTAAATTTGTTGATTATTAGCGTTAAAAATCGGTTTTCATTGACAATATCAGAGTCGACTGCTTATAGCGTAATAAAATTGGATTATTTATTTTTCAATACTTACATTTGCCTCTTGTTGTTTGTATTCTAGTTGTCCAAAATCATTTGATTTTTTTACATGTTATCTGGTTTTATTTTTGATTGAATTAACCAAGCCTATCGCTACGTATTTTTTAAAAATCTGCTACAGCTAAAATCAAATTGACTACAATCATTAACTGCAATAGCTATTTGATAATGTTTAATTAATTAGAAAAAAAAGAACATTTACATTTGCATACGATTTTATAATAAACCTTGAAAAGATCTACTGTCATCATAAGTCATTAGGCGCTTTTGTAAATCTAATTTGAACATTATTTTGTCAACTCAAGATTATAATCTGAAGTTCCAAAAGGAAATTCTGTCTGCAAATATTTATTTTCGATCAATATCAAATTTATGCTTTAAACATTGTTTGAAGTTCATTCACCCAAAAATTGTTCATTCTTGAATTATTGATCAGGATCATGTTACGCGTTAGCGGCAAGACCGTTAGAACTCTGCAGAACTTTTTACGTCACGAGACTGAACAAAACCCCGATCGATGCGCCAAAGAAAACCAGGGGGAGTCGTGAAGAAATCGTTCTCACGAAGAAGAAGAATCGGGATTATGCTGCATAAACCAGTTCAGGTTTGGGCAGTGCTAAAAAAAAAAATGCTGAGGAGGCAAAGCGATAGGCTTAGTTAAAAAAGGTCGATCTTGTTCTTTTTCTCCCACTGCATTGTAAATTGTTATAAAATGGACTTGTTTTACCCTTAATAAAGGATAAAAAGTGTGCTTGTAATAAATCATATTTGAAGTCGTTTTTAGCCCCACAATATATCCTATTAGCCTTACCTTGCCAAATTAAACCGCCTCTATATATCGAGTATATCATGTGGATTTGTTGGATAGTTTTGTGTGAGTCTTGGTGATATATGGATCCGTCATCCAGCCAGTCCTGCTAACACTGCTAATTAACATGCAAAATGATTATTTTATATGATAAAAATAATTTGTTGACGTATTGAATAAATAAATAAAAATACATCATTCCAAGAACCGATCTAAGACACATAATTTATATACAAAATATATAGAAATAAAGCATTTTATTCTTATTATTAAATATTTACCGTATTTGCACACAATAGCTGGTAGAGGCGTTAATTTGAAATTTGCCTTTTTCAAAAAATTAGTTAAATAACTCAAAATATCGTCCATGCGCGTCCGAAATAACGCGCACCCACCTTTTTGTAATTTAATTAGCTGCCTGGCATGAAAGTATCTGAGCAGCATTTTGCCTCGCGCGAAATCTACGGACAGTGCAATCGTAAGATATTACTAAGAAGGGAAAAATAAAAGTTTTCAAACTTGTAAATCGAAATATCTCGGTATCCACCTGACCAAATTCGATGGCAATTTTTTATTTTAATTCTATGAGTTCATAGAATTCAAATAAAAAAATTTCATCGAACTTGGTCAGGTGGTTGTGGAGATATCTTCGCTCAAAGCTAGAGAACAATCAAAACACCTATCAAAATAGAAGTACCAATTTTTTGAAAATTTGAGCGAAGTTATCTCCATAACCACCTAACCAAATTCGATAAAATTTTTTATTTGAATTCTATGAACTCCTAGAATTAAGATAAAAAATTTTAGGGGAATTTATAAATAGGGACCCAATATTCAAAATAGTTATTGATAAGGGCCCAGGTTAAAAATTATTACGTGTAGGGGCAAAAATTGGTACAAATAAGGGCCCATCCGGTCTGAGCTATTAAACGAGACCAAGTTAAGTTACAAGTGCAAGTCACGTGACATGTGATATTAAAGGAAAAATAAAAGTTTTCAAACATTAAATCGAAATATCTCGGTATCCACTTGACCTAATTCGATGGAAATTTTTTTGTTTAAATTCCATGTATCTATAGGATTCAAATAAAAAAAAATTTCATCGAATTTGGTTAGAGAAAAATCAACAGCCTATCAAAATAGAAGTTGCGCCAATTTTTTGAAAATTTGAGCGAAGATATCTCCACAACCACCTGACCGAATTCGATAAAAATTTTTTATTTGAATTCTATGGACTCATAAAATTAAAATAAATCAGTTGGTTGGGTGATATCTTTGCTCAAAGTTATGAAAGAATCAAAACGCCTATCAAAATCGAGGCTATGTCAATTTTTTTAAAAAATTTGAGCTAAGATATCTCCACAACTACCTAACCAAATTCGATAAAATTTTTATTTGAATTTTATGGATTTATAGAATCAAATAAAAAAATTTTATCGGGTTTGGTCAGGTGATTGTGGAGATATCTTCGCTCAAAGCTAGAGAAAAGCCAAACCGCCTATCAAAATAGAAGCGACGCCAATTTTTTAAAAAATTTGAGCGAAGATATCTCCACAACCACCTAACCAAATTTGAAAATTTTATTTTTATTTATATTCTATGGATTCAAAGAATTAAAATAAAAAATTCTATCGAATTTAGTTGGGTAGTTGTGGAGATAATTTCACTCAAATTTTTAAAAAAATTAGCGTAGCTTCCATTTTGATAGGCGGTTTAACTTTTCTCTAGCTTTGAGCGAAGATATCTCCACAATAACCTGACCAAACCCGATAAAATTTTGGTGAATTTACATATAAGGGCCCGAAAAATGAAAATAATTATAAATAAGGGCCCAAAGTAAAAATAATTACACATAAGGGCCAAAATTTTAAAAAAATATTACAATCAAAGGTCCAAATTTATCATAATAAGATTGCATACAAAATTATATAAATGTATTACTTTTAAATCAGTATTGCGTTTATTCTCTTAGCAACTTTCATGTAAAAATTATAACCACTTTTGCCGATCTTTAAAAGTAATTTAACTTGCTCTATGAATAAAAATGAGCTTCTTCGGTTTAAATATCTTCGATTAATGCATAGTAACCTTCACAAAATATTGATTCACTAGTTTGGTATAACGACAGGTTAAACATATTAGTTTAGAACCGAATAAACATTATAATATTTTCTTGTTATCTGGTATGATGTGACGGATACATGGGTATTCGGCAGGATGATAGC